CTGGATTCGTCTGAAAGAAGAAAGTCATATACAGCTAGGATGACTTGAGGGTGAGTAATTTATGGGCTAATTTTCATTTTTGGGTGAACTAACCTTTTAAGCTGTGTAATCTGCTGGAGGTGTATTTTTATAATTAACCCAATTGTGTAAGATTCTTCTGTCTTCTTTGAGTTTTTTTTTTTTTAATAGTAGTTATATCTTGCTGTTTGTGTTAGTTGAAATTGCTTGTTTTTTATGTATATTTCTCATTCAGGGTTTCTGCAGGTTTTATGAAGGTAAGGTACATTAAAGACTTTTTAAAACAATCAAAGTCAAGGACATAATTGAATGTAAAACAATATGCCAATATGTTCTCTAATTGCAAATGTATTAGCGAGATGCTTCAAAATTTGAAAATACAACTTCCAACAAATCTCCATTATTTATTAAATAATTTAAAAATAAAAAAAGCTTAAGGCTTGAATAGCTCTGTTTCCAACTACTAGAAGATGGAAATAACTTTTACTGTACCTTGTAATAATCACACTGCAAAAACATGATGTTCTTCTTCATCAGTGTTTTTGTCTTATTTTCATGTGCAAATGTGTGAAGATTCTTAACCCCAACTGTCACTCACATTTTTTAACATAGACGTGAAAGTGCACGATCCAAACTTCAATTTTTATAATTCATGAATGAAAACATTTTGTAACATGATATTGATGAACCATTTTCATGGTAATGCAATGTCTGATTTTAAAATGATTTTCAAAGAATGAATTTTGAGATTTTAAGTTTTCAATTGATATATCATTTCTGATGATTTCTAAAGTGTGATAGAGAAAAAGGCAACGAAGAAGACTTTTTGTGACAAAGGTCAGAACTCTTGTTATGATCATGATTTTTGAGGTGCACTCGTTAGTGCTGGGCGGTATGACCAAAAATTTATATCACTGTATTTTCCAAAATTATACCGGTTTCACGGTACATGACGGTATTTTTTTTTCATGCATGACCGGGTATTAACCATATTTTCTACTGATTGAGAGAGGAAATACTGCAGTATATTGACTTAGAATGCATAGATTCATGTGGAGATTAATGTTTTAAATATAAAATTTTGAATACAGAAATATGATTCAAATAACTGAAATTATACGCTAAAAATGAAACTAAATCCGCCAGCAGGTGGCGGCAAGTCACTGATTTTATCACTGAATCATTCATTCAATTGATTCGTTCGAACGGCTGATTCATTCAGGAATGAAGCAAGTGACTGTCTTTATGAACTGACGGAACTGTAATCCCTGTGAATGAAGACTTTTCAAGACCCGCAGAAACCTTTTAATAGACATGGACTAATATTCACAAAACTCTCATTTCAATATCGGAGGCCTTTAATCCCACAACTTCAAACAAACTTGCTGGTGGACATCTAAACATTAGGGTAAGCTATCATTTGGAAAAACAGCTGTAACGATTTTACCATAGACTTCTCCTCCACGCGCTCATCAACACACCCTCTCTCCAATGCCCCGCCCTCTACATACGTGACAGCCAATCCGAAGGCAGCAAAGCACAAGGCATAAATTGATTGACACGCAGAGAGCGTTTCTGATTGGCTAAAAAGGGCGGGCCGCTCCCCCAACTCTTGTTTTACTGTTTACAGTGCTTAGTGCTTTCTATCAGAGCTTATCTCTCAATATACATATTTAAGTGATACCTGTCTGTTAATATGAACTCTTTATGGGCGACATTACAACAACCCCATGCATCACCTTTACATGTCATTAAACGTGTTTTTATAACGTTACTGGGCAGCGTGGAAGTTGAGCTGCTGCTGTCACGAGCTCAGCGTTGAGCGCCAGTGCGCGTGCAACTTAGCTTAGCTCGAGCTAATAAGCAAAGGCAGCAAATAAAAGCGTAAAACGCCGGTCAATACAGCCACAACAGCGCGTCTTACCCAGGCGCGATGACCTGTCCGAGTTGACCGCACAGTTCCCGCACAACTCCAGCGCGGTCCGACTTCAGCTTCCTCTCGGCCGCTCTGCACTCGCCTTCGGCGGGGATCGGCGCACACACCGCGATAACGGAGTCCACGTTCACCAGAGCTCCGGGCTTCACCTTCCACTCGAGCAGCCGCAGAGGACGCGCTCCGGCGGGGCAGCGGATCTCCGTCACCTGCGCCGCGGGGCCCTCTGCTGCCGCGCCGCCGCCGGAGTCTGCAGGCTCCTCCATCAGAGCTTCAAACTTCCGCCAGAGACACGCGGCGGAGCGCACGGGGCGTCTGAGGAGAATTAATAAAAGGAGTTAAAAGCGCTAAAATAATCCAGAGGCGAACCGGGAAAGATAGCGATAGAAATGAGCTGTAATGCACGACAGGCTGAAGCACAGGTTCACTCTTCCCGCCCGTAAACAGGAAACACAAAGCTGCAGCGCGAGCGAAAGTCTTTCCACTTCCGGGAGACTTTAATCACACTCTTGATTTAGAATTAAATTAATATTAGAGTATAATCTGTAGTTTATAATAATAATAACAATTATGTACTTAAATAGCAATAATAATATTTTATATAAATATTTAAAAAGTGTAACAAAAAATAAATAATACACCAAATATTTACAGTCATATCAAACTTGTGGTTTAGAGAAAATCTGACCTGAGCATTTGTAAAAAACTGTATTTATCTATCCGCTCCCCCTTTGAGACAAGCAAGCCCCTGGTTTGTGATGTAATCTGATGAAATATCTAGGCCGTGGGTCATCGCTACATGGAGACTTTTTGGTTAGTGGGTATATTTTCACTGTGTTTGCTAAGATCGAGTTTCAAATCTTGAATTTCAAAGAGGAAAATGCATCTGTTATATCTTTCATCTTTACGCGACTCTTTTATCCTAATGCGACTTTTTTTCTGTATTAACTTTTTGCAATTATTATCACAAGAAAAGAAAAATGTAACATTATATAGACATATGATATGCAACAGTATCTTAGAAGAAAAAATCTCTTTGAACGTGTGCGGGGGACACAACATTGAGAAATTAAATAATAATTACAATAATAAATAAATAAATGAAAAACAATTTAATACATTTCAATTAAAAAAAGAATTTTCGCTTTCTTTCCTCTTTTTGATTGTTTCAGATGGGGAAGGCTTACAGTGCTTAGTACTTTTAATCAATAGACGTGTTGCCATTTTGCACACTTGTGATAGTCCAACTATTCTGAAACACTGGAGGGAGTAACACCTAAGACTATAGAATACCCTACAGAGACTTTGGTAACACCAAAGTAAAAACAAAAAGTTGTCGAGCCATGAATCTATTCAAATTTCACTTCATTTTTTTTTATTATTTTATTTTATTTTACGTTTATATTATTCGTGTTTTTTATAATATAAAATATATATATTATAATGTTATTTATTTATTTATCTGTCTTGCCTCCCTTTAAATGTCTACTGTCCCTTTAATTAAGGGCATACGTTCCTCGTTTCACGTAAACATATTTTTTTATATTTTGCATTTTTTTCTGTATAATAATTTTATTATTTAGTTGTATATTGAATTCGACTGCTCACGTTTTTCAAAAGGCCCAGTGATATTTGGATGTGTTGTTAGAGAGGGAGCACGGGCTGAAGGTCGCGTCAGACCGCTGTCACGTGACCGACGACGTCACAACAGACGCTGTCCCAGCTGTCCAATCAAAGCAGAGGCGTGCGTGATCTCGCAGCGCGAGGAAGAAGCGTCCGTGTCCGCGAGCGAGGACCGTAGCGAGTAGTGATGGAAATTTTGATTCTTTCAAGAGATTCGTTCATTTACTAGTAGCGAGTCACTCATGCGATCATCAGCCCGAGCGAACCGGAGACATGACGGCAGAGACGTTCAGATCGGTAAGGACTTCACTTCTGCTGCTGTGTTTCCGCTGATCCGTTGCTCTTGTGCTCGAGCTGCCTGGTCGGTGTGCTGCTGGTGCTTTATGAAAGGTCACTGTATTTCTGTTTCACACTTCTGCACTTATTGAGAGGCATTTAAATGCAGAATATATTCCATGTCATTATGCGGTCTGGAAGTGCAGGGTTGATCCTGAATCAGAGCAGTCGAGGCCAGAGGAAATGTCAAAGCATGCCTCGTGCTTGATCACTGTAAGCCTTAAATCCCAAACTAAACTCTGCAATTCTTGTATCCAAGTCTAACAATAGAAAGACTACCTGTCTTACAGTCCAGCACTTCCTGATAACCTTAGATTATAACCAGCAGCACACTTACAAAACATTACCATGGTAGCAATAGGCTTAAGTAATGTAATTACTGCAGTTACTGTTTACCGTTGCAACACTCTCTTAAATAATGCAAAAATAGCTTTCAGAGTCCTCATTATAATTAATTTATTTTTGGTGACAGCGGTGGCTAATACCAGTGATGGATAGGACCGGGACCCACTAGGGGGGCTCAGCAAACTTGCAAGGGTCCCTCAAGATGACTTAAAAAAAAAAAAAAACTGCTTGATACACACGCACACATATACACATACACATATATATATATATATATATATATATAGACACACACAGACACACACACTTTTTGGTAATTAACCATTTGCAAATATTTATTTATTTTATTTATACATTTTTTCAAAGAAAAGGGTTTTGAATGTCAAAAAGAAAAAAATATATGTAAGCTCTAAAAATTGTTTAGAAATTGTCATTAAAATTTTTTTTAAATCCTTATCCTTAATTCTTATGCAGTAAATCATGAACGACTGGAAAATTGTGGGATTTTGTTGTGGACAGTGGGGGACCTTGGAGTCCAAAAGATTGAGAACCACTGCTAGGCCTGTCGCAATAATCAATATATCGACTTATCACGCAATATATGTACATGACCTCAATAATTTATGGTGACGCAACATATCGCCCATTATATTTACTTAAAAATTAATGTCACCATGTTTTTTTTTGCATTACACTTGCGCCTGTGTCTTTTGCAGCCTCTCGTACATAACGTGGTGTAGTCATGAGGTGCTAGTTCAAATTTAAAGAATGCTTCTACAAACAAAGTTTAATCTGCAGATATGGCCTTGTTTAGGGATCTGTGCGTTTGTGCATGCTGACATCTGACTGCTAAGTAGTGATTGTGTTTTTCAGTTACAGTGCACCCTTAATTTACAGAGAAAAGAAGGTCCGGGAAAAATCTGTAGATGGAAAAATCTCCGTACAAATTCTTTGTGCATTTTTCTTTTTTCTACTTGTTACTTTGCACTTTTTGTTAGAAGTAATATATCGCACAACAAAAAGTTGTTATCGTGACAGGCCTAACCACTGCTGCACTAACAAAAAAGTGCCGTGGTACTACTAGTAGTCGACCAATTATCAGCCTGGGGTGCATTTCCCAAAAGCATCGTTAGTTAACTATGGTCGTTAGTTCCATTGAACTCCATTGGTAACGACGGAACTTGCGACCATAGTTGCTTTTGGGAAACACACCCCTGGCCGATTATCGGTGCCAATATTAAGCATTTTATCAGTATTGGTCATTGTCAAAACTGATTTGCCAATTAAAGGGGTCATATGATGCGATTTCAATTTTTCCTTTCTCTTTGGAGTGTTACAAGCTCTTGGTGCATAAAGAAGATCTGTAAAGTTGCAAAGACTAAAGTCTCAAATCCAAAGAGATATTCTTTATAAAAGTTAAGAGTCAACCACGCCTACCTAAAACGGCTCGTTCTAACACACCCCACATACCTACGTCACTATCTGGGAAGAGTTGCATAACGCCGCCCAAATAGTGACGTAGGTATGTGGGGGCGTGTTAGAACGAGCCGTTTTAGGTAGGTGTGGCTGACTCTTAACTTTTATAAAGAATATCTCTTTGGATTTATGTGTTTTTTAACCTTAAACCGCATAAACACATTTCATTACACCAAATACACAAAATAATGTTCTTTTTAGCAGCATCATATGACCCCTTTAAAATAATTTAAAAGCATTTAAAGGGTCATGAAACCCCAGACTACTTTTTCTGAGATTTTAGCAGAGGTGTTTGTGTTGCACATCATAGAAGACATTGTTAGCATCCAATCATTTTAACTAGATGTCGACCGATTGATCGGCCGATTTTTGGCATTTTTTAATTAATCGGCATCGGCCGATTGTGCTGCAAATTAAGCCGATTTATAGACAGGCACATCTGCGTGCAGCTAAGCGTTGTTGCGGAACGCCGGAGAATCTCTCTGGCTCCTGAGAGACGGAGCAACTCACACTCTGCAGCAGAGTACGTGAGCGGAGTGGAGCGGCAACAATTTCCCCTCCGCGCTCCGACCATTTAAAGGGGTCATATGATGCTATTTCAATTTTTCCTTTCTCTTTGGAGTGTTACAAGCTCTTGGTGCATAAAGAAGATCTGTAAAGTTGCAAAGACTAAAGTCTCAAATCCAAAGAGATATTCTTTATAAAAGTTAAGATTCAACCACGCCCTCCTAAAATGCCTCGTTCTAACACGCCCCCACATGTCTACGTCACGATGTAGGAAGATTTGCATAACGCCGCCAACATGTTCACGCAAAGAAAGAAGGAAGATTCTGAATGGATGATGTACAAGCGCTGCTTTATATAGAGTGGAAGCCCCTCATATTTCGCGCGCTTGAACGCGATTGGCCAGTTTCACTGGCGTGATTCAATAAGGCTTCAGTAGTATTTGGAGGAAAGGGTAATGGCTGTGCATTTATTTGTGTTTTTAACTCGATGGGAGCTAAATGAAACTGTCAGAATGCTAAGCTGTGTTTGTGTTTTCTGTCTCCCCTCTTCCCCCTCCGCTGCACAGCACGCCCACTTTTTTTAGCATTTTTTAAAACTGTGGTGAGAACTAACTAGTGCTGAAATGGGGGGGGTTTCATGACCCTTTAAAGAAAGTTTTTGTCAGCCCTTGCTATTCTTATTTTTGGCATTAATTTTCATTTTTAAACCAGACATATATTGGTTCAAAATATCGGTTATCGGTCTACTTTATCTGTAATAATCGGTATCGCATCTGCCCTGAAAAACACATATCAGTCGAACCCTAGGTACTATATGTGTGGTACTATACTGCTTTTATATTTGCCATAACAATCCTGCATATTTTGTATATGTATTACAGTAGTACCGTGGTGTTTTTTTTTTGTACTTTAGAGTGCGTGAATATGGTCATTTGCAACAGAATCTTGAACATGTGTTTTTGTTCATGTTCTGCAATCTAATACCAAGGCACTGTGCTTTTGTTAGGGTTACTATAGTATTTTGGCTTAAACTGTCGTTACCTGAAACATTTTTGGAAGGGCAGCGATTCATGTTTCAAGTCTCTTTTTAGGAAAGAAGCTCTCCGTATGGGACATTGGCTCTTTGCGCTTGTGCGGTGATTTAGAGTCGATGGTTTATCTTGAATGAGGGGCTGCTGATGGGCTGTTGTTTATCATACTCTATAGAGACCTTTAAACTGGAGCACATCCCTGACCTGTCCACAAATCAAGCTGCCTGAGGAAAGACATTCTGTTCCCTGCTTCTATAAACATTCTCCCTTTTTTCACATTTTGACACGGCCTTGACGGGGCCCTTGCTATTCTTATTTTTGGCATTAATTTTCATTTTTAAACCAGACATATATTGGTTCAAAATATCGGTTATCGGTCTACTTTATCTGTAATAATCGGTATCGCATCTGCCCTGAAAAACACATATCAGTCGAACCCTAGGTACTATATGTGTGGTACTATACTGCTTTTATATTTGCCATAACAATCCTGCATATTTTGTATATGTATTACAGTAGTACCGTGGTGTTTTTTTTTTGTACTTTAGAGTGCGTGAATATGGTCATTTGCAACAGAATCTTGAACATGTGTTTTTGTTCATGTTCTGCAATCTAATACCAAGGCACTGTGCTTTTGTTAGGGTTACTATAGTATTTTGGCTTAAACTGTCGTTACCTGAAACATTTTTGGAAGGGCAGCGATTCATGTTTCAAGTCTCTTTTTAGGAAAGAAGCTCTCCGTATGGGACATTGGCTCTTTGCGCTTGTGCGGTGATTTAGAGTCGATGGTTTATCTTGAATGAGGGGCTGCTGATGGGCTGTTGTTTATCATACTCTATAGAGACCTTTAAACTGGAGCACATCCCTGACCTGTCCACAAATCAAGCTGCCTGAGGAAAGACATTCTGTTCCCTGCTTCTATAAACATTCTCCCTTTTTTCACATTTTGACACGGCCTTGACGGGAACGTCTTGTGCTGTAGTCTATGAAAACACACCTCACAGATCATCTCTGAGCTATTTTTAAGGGTTGCCTGATTTATAATGCTTTTAGATGCCAGTAAAAGACTCTCAACGTTAAACGCAGTGAACTAAACTGAGTTTTATTTTCTTTGGCTTCAGTTAAGGTTGTGTCAGCGTCATATGTTTCTGTTACGGCGGTGTCCTCGGCTCATAGGCCTCCAAGAACTCGAGCAGAAGTTCTTCTCCTCTCACAGGTGGGTTTCATTTGCTTCATTGGGGTCTGACTTTATTTTAAGGGTGAAAACACTATGTATTTTATAGCATATGACAAAGCAAGCACTACATCATACTGAACAAGAGTATTGACGGTGATGCTGGGATTGTGTTGTGCTCCTCTAGAGTTGTGAAGAGTCACAGGATCTTTAGGAAGCTGTTGGTTGGCGTTTCGGTGGGTGTGCCGCTCGGGGTCGGGGTGCAGTATGCGGTCTCAGAGCCCAGAGAGAGGAGGAAGATGAAGATACTAGCTGAGGGAGTCGAGCGCTTCTGCAGGTAATAACCTCGTTTATTTAATTTGAGCAATTTATCAATCATCACTGCAATTTTAATTTACATCATTTTATAGTTTTTTTTTTTTATTAATTATTAATGATACTTGTATTCAGCAAGGATGCATTAAATTGATCAAAAGCGACAGCAAAGACATTTAAAATGTTTCAAACAATTTATATTTCTAATAAGTACTGTTCTCTTGAACTTTCTATTCATCAAAGAATCATAGAATCTTAAAAAAAATGGTTTCCTTGAAAATACAAAGCATTTTTTAATTGATTTTTTGCATATTTGTCACACTTAAAAGATTCAGATCAAACCAATTTTAATATTATGCAAAGATAATGCAAGTAAATACAAAATGCGGTTTTTATATGATAATTTCATTTATTAAGGGAAAAAAAAGCTGTCCAAACCTACCTGGCTCAATGTGAAAAATTAATTGCCCCTCCTCTTAAATCATGAAAGAACTGTGATTAACCACATTATTTTAGAAAGCTGGCATTATATCACCCATCAGGCTCTCTGATCTCTAGATGTCAAGCTTTTGCATTTGACATATCTGTATCATGCAGCCCTCTGCAGTTAATATCATGACTGAAGCTGTGAAGTAAGTTGTATATCTGTGTCACATCAGGTCTCTCTATGTCGGGCTTATGATATCAGCAGATTACTGGTGGACGTCCAACATTGCTCTGAGAGACATGGATGAGGTAAGCTTATGTCCCTATAATGTAAATAATGTTTATTAAATTAGTACATTTGAGAACAATTTTTTTTTAATTGACTAGAACTTAAAGGCTTGTTCTAACGAATATGAAAATTCGGTCATCATTTACTCACCCTCATATTGTACTGTACGCCTTTTGCTCTTCTGCAGAACATAAAATAAGTTATTTTGAAGAATGTTGGTACCCAAACAGTTTTGGTCATCATTGACTTCCATTGTATGGGCAATAAAAACAATTAGCCATTTCTTAAAAATATCTTCTTTTATGTTCACGAATAAGCTCGTACAAGTTTTGGAGAAACATGAGGGTGAGTAAATGATGACAGAAAGTTCATTTTTGGGTGAACTATACATCTAATTGAACACTTTTCTTGGATTCCCTTGTTCCATCATCTTCATAAATATATCCAGTGCAAAGTATTGTTGTAAAAAGAAAGTGATCAGTAAACGTATCAAACGCAAATCTCTTGCTGTCCCTCTCGCCAGAGCAGTCCAGAGTATGAAGCGCTCATGTCAGCGTGTCACCAGAGAGCAGCCGGCAGCATGGTGGACGGGGCCATACAGAACGGAGGCCTGTATATTAAGCTGGGACAGGGCCTGTGTGCGTTCAACCATCTCCTACCTCCAGAGTACATGCGCACCCTGCACGTGCTGGAGGATAAAGCTCTCAACAGAAGATACAAAGAGGTGAGCAGCTGCAACGTATCAAGCTCAACACATTGGGATTCTGCTGAGCTCTGACTCTGAATTCAAATTATATGTGATTTTTGGATATGAAGGAAGAAGTCAAAATATGGTTTTGTATTCTTGACAAAATCAGATTAGTGAATGTAATGATGTAAGGTAAGTCATTTTATCACAATAATCTCAATGTGCTGAATTATAAATTTGTATGAACACTAAAAATTTGGGATATGTTTTTGAAGTTAGTCTAAAAATATAGTAAAAACAGTGGTAAATATTAAATATTATTACTAAATATTATTACTATATTTAATATAGCTTTTCAATTGTAACATATTTTCAAATGGGATTTATTTCTGTGATCAAAGCTGAATTTTCAGCATCATTACTCCAGTCTTCAGTGTCACATGATCCTTCAGAAATCCTTCTAATATGCTGATCTGATGCTCAAGAAACATTTATTATTGTTATCGATGTTAAAAAAAAGTTGTGCTGCTCAATATTTTTGTGGAAACCATGATGCATTTTTCATGATTCTTTGAATAAAATTTCAAAAGAACAGTATTTATCAGAAATGGAAATCTTTTGTAACATTATATAAGTAGTGCTGTCAAACGATTAATCGCGATTAATCGCATACAAAATAAAAGTTTTTGTTTGCATAATATATGTGTGTGTACTGTGTATATTTATTATGTATTTATAAATACACATACATACAGTATATATTTTGATATATTTACATGTCTATATTTATATTCATATAATTTATATTATAAATAAATTTATTTAATATATAAACGACATTTTTCTGAAATATATATACATGCATGTGTGTGTATTTATATATACATAATAAATATACACAGTACACACACATATATTATGCAAACAAAAACTTTTATTTTGGATGCAATTAATCACGATTAATCGTTTGACAGCACCAATTATGTGACTTTTGACACTTTATGATCTATTAAATGTGTACTTGAATAAAACTATTAATTTCTTTCAAATAAAACTTATTGACCTCCAACTTATATTAAAGAGCTGTAATTCCTTAACCTTTCCTCCAACTGTTATGAGAATACCCTCGAATTGAAGCTCAGAGTGTGCACTTTATATAACTGTAACTTGAATATGTTTTGGTCAACAGCTAAAATAATAAAAAGTTGCTCCTGTGTCCAAATATATATAGACCTAACTGTGTGTGTGTGTGTATATATATATACAGTATCTCACAGAAGTGAGTACACCCCATACATTTTTGTAAATATTTTATTATATCTTTTCATGTGACAACACTGAAGAAATGACACTTTGCTACAATGTAAAGAAGTGAGTGTACATACATCAAAGAAACCTGGGCTTCCATACCACCTCAGCAGTGCCACAAACTGATCACCTCCATGCCACGCCGAATTGAGGCAGTAATTAAAGCAAAAGGAGCCCCTACCAAGTATTGAGTACATGTACAGTAAATTAACATACTTTCCAGAAGGCCAACAATTCACAATTTGAGTTGAATTACTGAAATAAATGAACTTTTCCACGACATTCTAATTTATTGAGATGCACCTGTATGTGTGTGTGTATATATATATATATATATATATATAAAGATCAGGGACTCAAAAGCCCATGAGAATTAAATCTGCAAACCTTTTTGTAACCCGTCTGGTCCCGTGTTGTTCTAGGTAGACGCTTTATTCCAGGAGGACTTCAGCACTACTCCAGATAAACTCTTCAGGACGTTTGACTATGAGCCTGTGGCCGCTGCGAGTCTGGCCCAAGTACACAAGGCCGAACTGCATGATGGGACACCTGTGGCTGTGAAAGTATGTTAGGGCAGTGCATGATGACTGTTGAGGAAATGCTGTTTATGTGCATTTTAATTGATTCATAATTTGGATGCATGACTTTTTTTTTTTAACTAACTTGATTTTATATTCTAATGCAGTTCTGTGTTTACATGGTACAATGTATTACTTTCATTTTTTGCGATTGTTGCAAGAACAGGCAATATAGAGGAACAGCATGAAGTGATAATCTAATGATTACTGATGTATTTGTGTTGTTCTGAGGATGTTGATGTCTGTTGTGTTCAGGTGCAGTATATTGATCTCAGGGATCGATTTGATGGTGATATCAGGACTCTAGAGATTTTGCTGGACATCGTGAAATTTATGCACCCCAGCTTTGGTTTCCGCTGGGTCTTACAGGTCAGTAAGAGTTAGTTCACCCAAAAATGAAAATTAGGCTGTGTTTTACTCTTGACCCAGCAGTTGTACACAGAAGCAGTTCCGGGCTGATGACATATGAGTTCAGCGTTGCGCATGCGCCGGTGAGTCTCGTGAAAACCAACGTTTGTTAACACGAGCAAAGGAAGCAAAGTTTCCTTACTTTAGGAAAGGAAAACCAGTCTCCTCTTGGCTTATATCGAAATCCTCCGACATTCTTCTTTACAAATCCTCATTTTGTACTTCTAATTCTTGACCGTTGTTTTGTTTTGATGTCTCCCCTGCGCTTCCGCGTTCGTTACTTCTGAGCGGCGCATGCGCAAAGCTGACCTCATACCTCATCCGCCCGTAACTGCTTCCGTGTACAACAGTGAGCGCAAGCTACATTAAAGTGATTATTACATTTTGAATATGGATATTTTTCTTAAAAAAACGCATCGATTCGCTACAGAAGCCCTTTGTTCACCCCCCAGAGCCGCGTGAGACACTTTTTTATGGATGGGCGCTTTTTATTTAACTTCTTTTGGACTGATGCATGCAACACCCGCTGAGTGCCATTAAACAGCTTGAAAGATCAAAGACCATTTTTAATCTAACTCCCGACTGGATTCTTCTGAAAGAAGAAAGTCATATACACCTCATTTTTTCATTGTTTCTCCATGATGCTGGTAGGACTTGAAAGGAACGCTGGCCCAGGAGCTGGATTTTGAGAATGAAGGCAGGAATTCTGAACGGTGTGCTGAAGAACTGAAGCATTTTAAGTTTGTAGTTGTGCCCAAAGTATTCTGGGACCTGACCAGCAAGGTGGGGATCAGTCAACTCTTACTTTGATCTCTAACTTTGACACATGAATGAATTGAAACTCTGACTTTGTGTCCGTGTAGAGGGTCCTTACAGCAGAGTTCTGTGCCGGGTGTAAAATCAACAATGTGGAGGAGATTCAGCGTCAGGGACTGAGTCTGAAAGACGTGAGTTTAATATCATCACTTATGATTGACCAGCTCTCATCACACCATTAAACGTCCATAATAATGATGATGATAATAATGCGTGTTTCAGACAGCTGATAAACTCATCGGCGTATTCGCAGAGCAGATCTTTTACACCGGCTTTATTCACGCTGACCCTCATCCTGGAAACGGTGAGATTATATATGCTCAGAATGAACCCATTATGACCCATTCGTGAGTGAGTTCGTGAGTGAGTGCGAGTGTGTGAGTGTGCGCGTGAGTGTGAGCGAGTGTGTGAGCGAGTGAGTGTGTGACCGTGAGTGCGTGAGTGAGTGAGTGCGTGCGAGTGAGTGTGTGTGAGTGTGAGTGAGTGCGTGCCAGTGAGTGTGTGAGTGAGTGCGTGCGCAAGTGAGTGTGCGCGAGTGTGTGTGTGTGAGTGAGTGAGTGAGTGCGTGAGTGAGTGAGTGAGTGAGTGAGGTGAGTGTGTGTGCGTGCGTGAGTGAGCGTGTGTGTGAGAGTGAGTGAGTGTGAGAGTGAGTGAGCGAGTGAGTGCGTGCAAGCGAGTGAGTGAGCACGTGCGAGTGAGCCTGTGAGAGTGAGTGCGTGCGAGCCAGTGAGTGTGAGTGTGCGTGTGTGAGCGTGAGTGTGAGTGAGTGAGTGAGAGTGAGTGAGTGCGTGCGAGTGAGTGTGCGCGAGAGTGAGCGAGTGTGTGTGTGTGCGTGAGTGAGTGAGTGAGTGAGTGTGTGTGAGTGCGTGCGTGCGTGAGTGTGTGTGTGTGTGTCACCCATGTGAAGTGTGGCTGATTTCAGTGCTGGTCAGAAGAGGTCCAGATAATAAAGCTGAGCTGGTTCTGCTGGATCATGGGCTGTACGAATACCTCAGTAAAAGGTGAGAACGTGAGGAATAAACACCGGCATCACTGTAATCTGCATGAAACAGACGGTGACCGCAGACTCTCTGTGTTTGTCAGTGACAGAGCGGCTCTGTGTCGGCTGTGGAGATCCATAATCCTGCGCGATAAAGCCGGCATGAAGACATACGCAAATCAGCTCGGGGTCAAAGGTAACAGCTTTTTCTCACATACACTACCAGTCAACCGTTTTTGAACAGTGAGATTTCTAATGTTTTTTAAAGAAGTCTCTTCTGCTCACCAAGCCTGCATTTATTTGATCCAAAATACTATTTTACTATTTAAAATAACTGCTTTCTATGTGAATATATTGTAAAATGTAATTTATTTCTGTGATCAAAGCTGAATTTTCAGCATCATTACTCCAGTCTTCAGTGTCACACGATCCTTCAGAAATCATAATAATATGCTGATTTGCTGTTCAATAAACACTTTTTATTACTACTATCAATATTTAAAACAGTTGAGTAGATTTGTTTCAGGATTCTTTGATGAATAGAAAGATCAGCATTTATCTGAAATAAAAAGCTTTTGTAACATTATACACTATACCATTCAAAAGCTTGGAGTCAGTATAATGGAGTCAGGGGGGGGAATTATAGAAATGAATACTTTTATTTAGCAAGGATGCTTTAAATTGATCAAAAGTGATGATAAAAACCATTTATAATGTTAGAAAAGATTTCTATTTCAGATCAGAATATTAGACTAATTTCGGAAGACCCGTGTGACACTGAAGACTGGAGAAGTGATGCTGAAAATTCAGCTATGATCATAGAAATAAATTACATTTTACAATATATTACAATAGAAAACAGTTTTTATAAATTGTAGTAATATTTCACAATTTTGTACTGTATTTTTGATCAAATAAATGCAGCCTTACAGAGCATAAGTCAAAAATATTTGACCTATGACCCCAACCTAATATAAATAAATCTTAAAGGGGTCATATGATGCTGCTAAAAAGAACATTATTTTGTGTATTTGGTGTAATGAAATGTGTTTATAATATAACGATTTTATCAGTACATTTTTATGCATACAGCTATAAGGAGAGAGAAACGAAAATGTTATCGTCTCATTGGTCCGTCCCAGAATACTTTCTCTTCAGTGAGATGCTGCTGCAGCGGCCGATCAACATGTGGGATCTGGGTCTGGGTAACATCCTGACGCGAGAGGAGACGTCCTACATGCGTGACATGGCCATGAACCGCTTTGATAAGATCATGCAGGTGCTGAAGTCCATGCCGCGGCCCATGCTGCTGGTCTTCAGGAACATCAACACCGTCCGCTGCATCAACATCACTCTGGGAGCTCCAGTCGACCGCTACTTCATCATGGCCAAGTGGTAGGAGACACGATTCCCCCTCACCGCTGATCCAGATATCTGTGGATTTATGTCTCCAATATAGCTGAATCGTCTGAGTTTGAGTATTTGTTTGGATTCTCTTCATCATTTGAGTGAAGTGTGTGTGTTTCAGCGCTGTGCGGGGATGGGGCAGAGCTCAGGCCGACGACACCAGGATGCTGTCTAGACTGTCTGTCTTCCGCTGGGTCTGCTCCTTCTGGGAAAGCGTCAAGTTTGAATTCGCTTTAAGGTGATAACGCTAATCAGATTCATTCCATTTGATTTCTTCCCAAATAATATGTTTTTCCATTTACATTTTTCTGGATTTTGTTTTGTTGTTTTGGTAGTCAACTTAATTGTCTAATTAATTAAAATCATAAACCTTATGCAGTTTAACAATTTATCAAATGTTTAACAGAAATTAAATTTTTAGGGCCCTATGTTTTCCATTTATTTTTTCCCCCAAACTTAGTGGCTTTTTTTTTTTTTTATTCCATTTTAGTGGTTTAAAGGGATAGTTCACCCCAAAATGAAAATCCTCTCATCCTTTACTCAACCTCAAGTTGTTTCATAAGTTATTTTCTTCTGTTGAACACAAAAGAAGATATTAAAAAAAAGAAAAAAGTTGATGGTCCCCATTTACTTCAATTGTATTTTTTGCCCAATACTTTGGAAGTCAATGTGCACCATCAGCTGTTTGGTTTCCCATTTTCATCAAAATATCATCTTTTGTGTTGCACAGAAAAAAAGAAAATTTAACAGGTTTGGAATAACACGAGGTTAAGTAAATGATGACAGAATTTTCATTTTTGGGTGAACTATCCCTTTAAATAATCAGAAACATGTCAACAGAATACATAAAACATTTTAATAATTTATTTACAATAATAGGGCCCTATGGTTTATTTATTTTTTACTTTGAAATTCTCTGTTGTCCGTTTTATTTTTTCTGGATTTATGATTTAATACACATTTACTATCAAAAAATGGTGGTAATCAAACGAAGGCTTAAAACAGTAACAATTTAATGAATTAATTTGTAAAATGTAAATAAAAACAACTCCTTTTATTTTTTTCACCAAAGTGCTGCACAACAGAGGTTTGCCGTTAAAATGAAAAAATAAAGTTTTAACATTTTCTTAATATTATTATAAGTTTGAGATGTTCATTCTACAGTACAATGGTACTATATACAGTATCTGTCAAAATTTAATTAAGTTAAACGGAGTGTTAATTTTTCCAGGTTTGAGGTTCCGTGTAACTGACAAGTTTATGGTGAAATGCTGGTGATTTCTGTGACATTCCACGTTATTACTGTAAATTCCAACTTTATGACTGCATTCTGGATTTCATGCGCATTTTCAGCATTGCAGAGATCATCGAACCCTGTGACACTCATCTCAGCGGCAGATAAAACTAACATCACACACCAATCAAGCGTGCCGTTTTAGCCTATTTGTGCTATATTTCTGTGTAATATGTATGAGATGAACTCTCACATTGATTGTGTTCCTCCAGGTCAGAGATGGCGCTCATGAGCGTCACCCGCTCTCTGCTCAAGCTGCTGTCTTACTGCAGTCTCATCACGCTGGACCAGGACGTGTATCAGTATCTGAAATGAAGCGTCTCGCACCTTGTTTCTGAGCTTCGATCGTGTTAGTATTCTTGCTGTCTACGGGAGGGTCCGAGAGCTCTCGGAATGCATCAAAAATATCTTAATTTGTGTTCCGAAGATGAACAAAGGTCTTGCGGGTTTGGAACGACACAAGGGTGAGTAATTAATGACAGAATTTTCATTTTTGGGTAAACTATCCCTTTAAAGACTTGCTGGTATAAAAATAAATAGCTTTAATAAGCGCTGGTGAGCTGCATTTCACTGGAAGCCGAGGACTTTTTAATTCAGCTTTTTATCAGTTATGATATTCCAGCATTTAAAAGACTTGTTTCATTCAAGAAGCTGAGCTACGTTTGTTTCTTCTGTAGGCCTCGGTTTGAAACACCAAAACGATTCATGGTTATATTTTCATGGTGGCAATAATAAAACAAATCAGTCTGAACAAAGTAAATAATTATGCTAAAAACCTTTTACCTCGTGGGGTTTAGCAATTTCGGTGAATAATAGCAGTTCATATCGCAATGACAAAAACCTTTTTACTAATTATATTTAAAAATGTGGCCATTTTATATTGTATTTGTGGATTTTGGTGATTAATTGGTGATATGCAGTTGGAACAGAGAGGTTTTGCTGTCAAAAATTTATAGACTACTTATTGTCAGATTGGATATGTATTCTACAGTGCTATGTATTTTGAATATAAATCACTTATATTGCCGTTTCATTTGTTCATTTCACCTGGAGTCTTCAAATCAGAACCAATCAAAAAATCAGCCTATTTTGAAAATGCATCTTATTGAGAATGATTCATCCATTTTTTTTTTACCTCATTTAATCAAACTGTCAAAGCTTTATCTTTTGGTGCAGTATCAGACTTCTGTCTGGTGATGTATGCTGGATTTCTCCAATCATTTTGTCCACTTAAACTCATCCCACTACTATCATCTGTGAGCTTGTATTCATTGAGTCAGAATCATCTGTGATGGAAGTAAAGAATAATGACACTGAAAGCATTGGACTATCAACATGTTTGTTCTGGATGTCAACATGCAATACATGTAAAAAAATAAATAAAAAAAAAACTTAAAAAAAAATTTTTTTTTTTTTTTACACAAAATATTCTAAGAAATGCAATACCCTTTACTGCATTTCCTTCTTTCTGTCAACAAAAAAAAAAAACAGTATGACACATTTTAGTTTCTTCTTTTTCTATCAAAACATTGAAATATAAAACAGTGGGCAGAGGATCATGAGCTCTTCAGAAGTGAGCAGTTACTCTGTCGATCTCCAGAAGATCATCCAGGATCTGAAACTAATGGAAAAGCTCATAAACAGGAAGGAAGATAATTATGAGCATGACATTTCTAGTAGCACTTGAAGGCAGCAGGTTAACACTTTATTTTAAGGTGTCCTTATTACACGTTACATGTACTTGCTATTATAATAACAATAAATTATGCATAATTACATGCAAGTAACCCTAAACCTAACCATATAGTAACTACATGTAAATAATTAATATTACTCGGTACTTAAAATGTATAATTACACTGTAAACAATGACATTTTAAAATAAAGTGTAACCGGCCGCAGTGTTTGTAACTAAAGTATGTAAGCGACTGTTTTTTGTATTTTTTGGGACCAGGATAATCTTGATGCTTTGGCTTCTTGTGGAACTGTTTTCATTGGGGTTTTTTTCTTTTCTTTTTCTGAAGCACATTAACTTCTATTAAGTTCTTGTTTACTGAACTCTAAAAAAAGAAAAAGCAGGCACTAGGCTCCAGCACAGCTTAAATCAGGCTATTTGCAGGATTTATTTTTTTACCTTTTTGTAAGATTACACAAATAAAACTAGACAAAAAAAGTTTGTCAAGACTACAAGCCTACCTAATTAATACCATATGAGCAGGGTAGGGCAATGTCTATGGTAACATATTAAACTCTAAAATTACTGTGTTAAAAAAAAGTTCAAATACAGGTTTTCACAAAAAAGTTTTATACAATTTCATAAAAATAAAACTTCAAATTTCAGTCTTTAAAAACTAATTTTAAGAAAAGGGATGAATCAAAAGTATCAATTATTATATGAATTTAAACATATATCTTACTGTCTTAATTCTTTAGATTTTTAGAAGGCATATTAGCTTCTTGTCGATCCACCGGTTCACATTTACAACTGTATGTTTGCTGCAGATGGGTTAAAGGGGTCATATGATGCGATTTCAATGTTTCCTTTCTCTTTGGAGAGTTACAAGCTCTTGGTGCATAAAGAAGATCTGTAAAGTTGCAAAGACTAAAGTCTCAAATCCAAAGAGATATTCTTTATAAAATTTTCTGTCGTGTAATCGACTATTGTTTTCAGTGTCGACTAGTCGACTAGACCCGCACATCCCTACATATGACCCCTTTAATTTTGGCAATTCTCTGCCAGCAGGTGGCGCTTGTAAAACGGCAGAAATATAGCAGTATCTCTGGGCTGTACACAAAGCAGAGCTGCGCTCATAAACGCTGCTTTATCAGTCATTATAGGAATGATGAAATTAAAATGCCATCGAAACTTTTCTGAAGACAGGCGGTTAGTGCAGCATCCTGCAGCAAAACACAGCAGCAGATGCTCAGAGGCTATAAAGAATGGTAGAAATGTCACATCTGGCCTGAAAGTATCATGAAAATGTCTAAAATGGTAAGTTTCGGAAATATTTGGATTTTTGTGAAATGCTCATGTAAAATTTGCATGATTAGAGTCTCATTTGTACAATATTAACTCTGTAAAGCCTGACATGAAATCATAGTCAGAAAAATCGGAAATAGAACCATTTCCTTTAGACAAAAAATAAAATTAAAAAAGTGTTTTTGTATAGTATCATTTTTGATGCATCAGGCTTTTCTGGCTCATATTGTAAGATATAGTGAGAATATGGAGCTCATAGTAGAGTAGAACAAAAATGGCATTTATACAGCATAAAGTGCATATAAATATCAGTTGTCACTCTATATCTTCCAATAATGTCATAAGATTAAGTTTTATGATCGAAGCTCTGTAGTTCCAAAACACATAATGCAATGCAATTCAAATGATGATTGAGAGATGAACAAATAAACGTTTATCGAAAGACCAATGATTGTAAAAAAAAAAATAAAAAAAAAAGATGTATGGATAATCAAATAAACCTAAGTTGCTTCAGTGCAGTAAGTGTTCATCTTGAAATATTACTAACAATAAAAAAAGTTATTCTTATGTTTCCTTTATAAAATCAGGAAAGGTTTCCCCGCAGAAAGACACGTGAACCACAGGCAGAAGGTGAATGTATTAACAATGATAATAAAAGACCTTTTACTTGCAAAAAAGTATAAAGTATGAATTATCAATCAGATGAAGTTTTGTTCATGTTGGAAATTTAGAGGCTTTAGAAATGTGCGTATAAAAAATATGATACTGTAGTCCTTATAGGGTTAAGTAAATCTGTTCCAAAGAAAAAGACAATTCCAGAAATGCACAAATTCCCTGAGATAAAAATGCAAATCTACAACTACTCATGGAAATTCATTGGTCAAAAAGCATTGAATATCAAAACAACAGAAACTGGGGTAATAAAATGACACAAGCTGGAACATTGTGAGATTTCTTTGGTTGATATCACAGGGCTCCAGACTAAAGATGGTGGCGCCAGGAGCAGATTTGGTAGCGCAGTGGGGGTATTAAAATTAAAGATCATTTAATCATAAAATGACTATTGTTTTGCATTAATAAGTGCTTGATATTTTATAATAGTGATTTTATAATTTCAAGATATAAAGCAAAAAGTAGAAATGAATGACTAATAAGCCAATAAGTGCTGCTCTGCTGCCATCTACTGGTTATAGTGGTAATCTTATGTATTTTTTTTCTTTAACACAAGTGTTTGTTAACCATTTTTAGAGCTTTAAAGTGCTGGAAATAGTTGCGTGAAAGCTTGAAAGTCATTGAAACATGCTTGCATTTCTCTCTCAAAAGATTGTACAAACTGAAATGAATAATGTAATAACATTCGACTATTTCTGCCGCAATACCATAGTTATAGTTAGCCTTACTACTTCTGGTTTTCTACATCAGCGCTGTTTGATCGGTTTATAACGGAGAATTCTGTGTAGAATTTAAATGCATCTCACTAGACCTCGCTAGTGTTGCGAGATCAACACTGGCTCCCGAGTAAATCTGTTCTAAACTCGGATCAGTTTACTTGCACTGCTCTGCGCTCAATTATTGGTCCAAGCTGATAAACGGTCCGCGCTGCGCAGCTCAAACGAGTAGCACGTTTTAGTCGCTTTTGTTTCGTTTGCCGTTTGATGTTTCTGTTATGCAGTGCTTATGAGTTGGACAACGCGGTGGTGGCAAAATCGAGTCGCACCGGCAGAAAAAATGGTGGCACTCTGGAGCCCTGCATCAGCAGGCAAGTCAGTACCTGAAGGCCTTTGGGTTGAGCCTCGCGTGATGCGGCAGCATGGTGGTGAGGGCGTTCTGCAGCATCAGCAGTTTGCGGTACGTCTTCTCCTGCATGGGCAGAAGCAGGCCGACGCCACCGTCCAGCGTAGCTGCACACACACAGACAATCAAACTGGGTTCACTAGTTCAGGAATAGAGAAATAATGCTGTTTCATGAACGCCCATTAACCGCTAGGGTGCAAAGGTGTTCAAAAGAGATACGGCTGAGGAGACCCACCGAACCATGTGATGTGCTTGTTGTCCCAGGTGAGTGCCTTCTTGCTGGCGGGGTCCAGAGTGCCACGGCACGGCATCCTCCAGAAGGCGTTCACATGCGCGCCCACATTAAAATCGGCTCTCCGCAGCAAACGCATGCCTCTGAAACTCTCTTTGGCTGGAGGCGGTATAATAAAGGACGTATGTTTGATATCAGACACTGGGAAAGAGCAGTCTCATGGTACTGCAGAAAGAATCAAATAAATGACACATCTTCTGGCAGGTACATGTAGGCCGACAGGTTTTTGTCTGTCTGAAACTGAGAGAGGGTTTTAGAGGTCAAACCAGTGAGTTTAAAGCATAAAAACTAATGATGAGACAGAATAAAAGAGTAATGGTGTGCACTGATTGGCTTGTGCGACAACGCATCATGCTTATATTTGCATCACGTTAC